TCCCTCCCCCCTCCCCCCCACCCCCCGCCCGCCCTCCTCCTCGCTCCATCCTCCTCCGCCTCGCCCCTGCCCACCGCCCCCAGTCGCCGGAGCTGCCGAGCGGTCCCCATCGCCTCTCCACCCTCCGCCGTCCCTCCCGCGGCAGCTCCGCCGGCACCGGCGGAGGCAGCAGCGGAGCGAGGGGCGGCCCGGGGCCGCTGCCCCTTCCCCGCCGCGGGGCTGTGCGCGGCGGGCATCGCCGGGGGTGCTTGGAGCGCGGAGCGGAGCCCGGCGCCGCCTCCATGTTCCAGCTGCCCATCCTCAATTTCAGCCCGCAGCAGGTGGCCGGGGTATGCGAGACCCTGGAGGAGAGCGGGGACATCGAGCGCCTGGGGCGCTTCCTCTGGTCCCTGCCCGTGGCCCCCGCGGCCTGCGAGGCGCTCAACAAGAACGAGTCGGTGCTGAGAGCCCGGGCCATCGTGGCCTTCCACACGGGGAACTACCGGGAGCTCTACCATATCCTGGAGAACCACAAGTTCACCAAGGAGTCCCACTCCAAACTGCAAGCCCTCTGGCTGGAAGCACACTACCAGGAGGCGGAGAAGCTGCGGGGCCGACCCCTGGGGCCGGTGGACAAGTACCGGGTGAGAAAGAAGTTCCCGCTGCCCCGCACCATCTGGGACGGCGAGCAGAAGACACATTGCTTCAAGGAGAGGACGAGGCATTTGCTGCGGGAGTGGTACCTGCAGGACCCTTACCCCAACCCCAGCAAAAAGCGGGAACTGGCTCAGGCCACGGGACTTACCCCCACGCAAGTGGGCAACTGGTTCAAAAACCGCAGGCAAAGGGACAGGGCAGCAGCCGCTAAGAACAGGTAAGGAAGGCGCTGCCCGTCCCGTCGGGACACAGGTTCCCCTCTGGGAGGCTTCGCCCTCGCCCGCAGAGGCCGGAGGCTGCGGGGAGGCGGTGCGAGACTGCCAGCAGAGGATGGGGGAAACGAGCCCGGGAGATTTCTCCCCGGGAAATGCAGAGAGATAAAGCAGGAGCAGCGGGAAAACTCTAAGGCTTATTAATTACTTCGATTTAATAGGGCAGGATCCCCGCCCTGGGCTCCCTCTTGGTTGCCCTGTGGGGGAGCAGGACAGGGGGAGCAGGACAGGGGCAGCCTGGAGCCACCGGCTGGAGCTGGCTGCAGAAGGGCCACGTTCAAGGGCTGAGGGGAGGCAAACCCCCTTCAAAGTTTTGCCCGGACATAGAAATACCGGTTTGAGATTGTCCATCCTGAGAAGAGCCAGCCATGCCCTCCGCGGGCCCTGCCACAGCCGCCGTGCCCTGTTCCTCCACTGGAGCCATCCGGGCACATTCTTTGAGATATTGTTCTTTTTCCCATTTTATATATATAAATATATAATAGAAATACAACATGTATATATGTGTATATATAAATTTAAAAAAAGAAAACGCTACAGAAGAAAATCATGGCTCTAAATGAGCAGTGTTACCCCAACGCTGGTGACACAAGCTGACGCCCCAGCAAGCAGGGGAGGGAGCAGACTTCCCCCTTTATCTCCTCCCCAGGATCCCGGGGTGGGGAAAATTCCCCTTGTCACCCCTCAGCCGGGCTGTCGCGCATCGGGGACGTGGGTACTGTCACCCGGAGCCCTTTTTTATCGGCTAAGGGAAGATGTAAGGCCTACTGGACGGGAAACGCCGCCCGGGAGCTGCTGCAGGGCATTACTGACCCCTAAGATGAGGCCCGGTTTGGGGACAGGCTGCGGAGGAGGGAGACAACTTTCCCCTGGGTGTGCCAGTCGAGGAGCGGGGCTGACCCTGGGGTGGGCACCCGATTTCTCAGACAGAGCAGAGGAACCGGGCGCCCACCGAGCTTCTCCTCTCTCCTATCAGCGCTATAACTGCTGCGAGCCGGAGGTCGGGGGCAGCGGTGTGGGTGTGCCGGTCGGGAGAGCCCCTGGGGGGGCCACAGGGAGCTGTCGGAGGGTGCCGGGGTGCGGAGGGCGGGCGGTGATGCCGTGTGTGCCGCTTCCTTGCAGGCTACAGCAGCAGGTCCTAACGCAGGGCTCGGTGCGCTCTCTGCAAGCGGAGGAGGAGAGCGGCGGGGAGGCGGTGGGGGCCGCCTCCAGCCCCGCAGCCAGCCTCTCCAGCAAAGCGGCCACCTCCGCCATCTCCATCACATCCAGCGACAGTGAATGTGACATCTGACAGCACCGCCATGGCAAAGCGGGCCGAGAGGGAGGCCCGGCTCACCGGTGCCTGCCGACACGGCCGGAGCAGCGGGGCTGGCGGTGCCCGGCACGGGAGCCGAACGCGGGGTACGGGGCGCTCCCCGCCCGCTCCTCCCTCCCAGCCCCGCAGCAGACTGCAACAACAAAAAAAAATCATGAAAATCGTTGTCGCCTTTATTTGGAAGGATTTGGAGAATTGATGCCTAAAAAGAAATAATTAAAGAAAGCCCAGAAAACGTTAAAAAAAAAAAAAATCATCAAAAAATCGAACGCCAAGTTGCAAAATGTCTGAGTCCCTGCTCTTATCCCGCGGGGCTGTTCCATGTTGAAAAGACGCTGTTCTTTTGGTTGGGTTTTGCTTTACTTTAAAGGGTTTTTTTATATATATATATATAATGTTTATTTACTTATTTAATGATTGCTATGGTAGATTTTTTTCTATTATTATTATTATTAATTATTATTTTTGGCTTGTTCTCTATGTGCACAGGTGACTTGTAGAGCATGTGCAGGACGAAACTGTATGAAGCAGCCTAAAACCATAATAAAATATTTGGTGAACGACCCTCGCATCTGCTTTGAAATGACGGTGTCGGTCTCAAGCTTGCCGGTTTACGCAGAGCAGATCTCCGAGGCCACGGGTATTTCAGCAGCAGCTCGGCAGGAGCCGAACTAGCCGGTCCCCGAGAGCGGGGGTGATGTTTTTGCCGGGCAGGGAGCTGGGAGGAGCCGGGATGAGGCGAGAGGAGCCGGAACGGGGCTGGCGGGAGATGCGGGTCCCCTAGGAAGGAAGGAGGCGGCATCGCCGCAGCTTCTTCTCTCCCAAGGGCTGAAGCTTTGGGGATTATTGGAGGCGAATTTTCTGAGAGGAACGAGAGGGGGGAAAAATAATATTAGGGAGAAGAATGGTTGGGGCACAGCCTCGCCGGGGGAACTAAGCTTCCTCCCTCACCTGGCAAAAGCAAGGAGAAGATGGAGAATTAACAGTTCTCCATGCCAGTGAAAGGCCATGACGCGGGCGAAATTAACCCAAATCGCGACGCCTGCGATGTGCCTGTGGCTGTCCCCACCATCCGCCTCCCTCGCTTTGTTTTGCGGCCGTTTTGCTGGAGGAGACCAAACGCCAGGTCCAAGGAGCGCGCTAAGCTTTTTTGCCCAGCAGAAGGATTTTATATTATACAATTTGACATTGATCTTTAAATCGCCTGAGCTGTGCTTTTTTTGTCTTCTCGGTCTCATCGCGTTTACTTCTCTGTCCTCAGAGAGATGCCTCCCCGGTAAGCTGATTGCTTGGCTCGTTTTATTTAGCAGCCGAAGCCTGGCACTGGGGGAAGCCGGGCGGCGCTGGGAGCGGGAGATGCCCCGGCTCCCGCTCTGCTCCAGCTGCCTGCGAGGGCAGCGGCCGAGGGGGCACAGGGGCATTTCAGCTCCTTGATAGTTTAATTCAGTCCTGCTGCCCTATATCGGAAGGTATATTTCTGTCTCGGCAGTGACTTTTCCCCCTCTGTCTAAATTTGAATTTAAAACCCGGATTCAAGGCGTTTACAGCCCCCCCCATGCCTAAATCTGCCTTTCCCCCCCAAATGCATGCACCTTGGTTTTCCTTACAGACTATTCCAGGGATGGGGCAGGTAGCAGGAATTTTTTAGCTGTTTTTTCAAGTCAATTTACAGGTAGCTCCTTCCCTGGTGGGCTTTAAGAGGCAAATAATCTACATTTTAGGAGTACGGAAGGGTCGGATCGCAGGGCGGGGAGCGGGGGCAGAGTAGGGATCTCCACCTGCCTTTAGGGTATCCAACTACGGGAGGGTCCGGAGCGCACTTTTCACCCCAAACCCTGAGCTCTGTTGCCTCCTCAACCCAGCGGGATTTAAGCCGTGCAAGAAGAGCCCGGCTGTGCTGTTTAAGCGTCAAACGAGGCTGGGGTTTTACCTTGGATTTGGGGTTCGCGGATGAGCTGCGCTTCCCACCCACGAGGTTGTTTTGGGAGCAAAAGTGGTGTTCTCCCTCAAAACGGATTCTGCTGAAATACAGCGTGTTCTTTCTTTATTTCTTTTCTTCCCCGGGAAATCGGTGAATTGGATTTAATTTCTCCGTCGGCTTCTGCGGGCAGAGTAGCAGCGCTTATTGTGGGGAATTAAAAATATAAAGAGAGCGGAGAGCACATGCCCTCAGCGTCTGGTAACGTGGGATTTCTTTCCAACTAAAAAAAACATCTGGAATTTATTCAATAGGCAGTGGGGATGATATTGTCTCTTTCGACAAAGGGTTTGAGTGTCATGAAGGACGCGGGATCTCCCGAGTGGGCAGTGGAGGGACCCTCCCGCGGATGCTGTCGGCAAGAGAACAAACCAACCCCTTCGGAAAGAGTGGCCGGGGCGGGGAAGGGAGCACGGAGCCCCCGTGGGAAGAGCAGCCCCGCTGCCAGACCTTGTTTGCTGTGGGAGAACGGGAGAACCGAGCGTCTCCCAGCTCCGCTTTTTCCCCTCCAGAGTCTGCGGGGGCCGGGGCCGTGGGGATGCGCCGGCGCTTTTAGTTCCACCAATAAGACCCAAAATAAAAACCCGCGGTTTCCCCACCCCGTCCCCCACGTTTGTTTGTTTTTTTCCAACTGCCCTTTATCTTCCCTTATTGAATGTCCTTCCCCCGGCTTTTTCAGCAATTTTTTCCCCCTAAAGATCAGCCCAAGCCGTCGCCTTCCCGAGCTTCTGGTTGTTTTTAAAATAATAAATAATTATAAACGGGTAAGAGTGAAGGAGTTTGTATTTACATTAAACAAAACGCTCCGAAAAGGGTCACTAAAAAGTCTGCCTTGACCCCTCTCTCTCCGGTTTAACAAAGAGGGAAAATATTGTATCAAAAGTGAAGTGAATGGGGAAGGTGGAGAAGAGAAACAGCTTTTCCTCTCTTCAGCTGGGAAGGGGGGAGAAATGTTTGAATATTTCCGTTTCTTTTGAGAAGCGGGGCAGTCCGGGCAGGGCTGAATGGGAAAGTCTTGTAAGCGGGCTGGGAGGCTGTCAAACTGCTCAGAGGTAATCACTGCTAATGAAGGGGTCTCCAGCCCTCCCTGGGACAAAGGATGCTTACGAGTGCTAGCTGGGACTGAATAACTAATAAGTTTGCAAGGAGGAAAAATGAGTGAGCTGTCTGTAAATTGATTTTGCAAGAGAAAAAAAAAACCAACAAAAAAACCACAAAACAAAACAAACCAAATTAAAAAAAACAAACAAAAACCAACAAAACAAACCCAGAAAAAAACCTCTTGCAACAACAACAAAAAAAAGCAAAAAGCAAAAAGCTTGCAGGATGGGGGGAGAGCCTGGCTCTGTTGCAGCTGGGGACAGAAGGCCCACTTACCCAGGGAGCATTGTCCCAGTCCCACACTGCAGAGGAGGACTGCTGCTGCTTGCTCGGAAAACTGGGGTGGAGGGAGGCTGGGGGTTGCAAGAGCCTTGGAAAAGCCACACCAGCCTCTCCAGGCTGGGGGTACTGCCCCAGCTGCTGCCTGATCCATGCAGGTGCTCCCTGCACGCCCATCCTCATGCTCCAGTTTGCACAAGCCTTGCAGAATGTTCATCCCATCCCCATCCTACAGCTCAGCCCCACAAAAGGGTCTGTTCCCTGTTTGTTATGCCACTGCCTTTTGCCCCTTGTCTAACCAAGGTGTTTTCTTTGCAGAACAGAAGAAAGGGGTGTCTGGAAACCTATTGAATATTGCACCAGCACCAGCACTTCTCTTGGTTGGGAGGGCTCCTGTACAAAAGGTCAGCTTTAGCTGCTGGCCTGGAGCTGGGTGCTGGGAGATGTAGGAGGGGGCTGGGTTCAGGGGGAAACTCGCTTATGTGACAAGAAGAACGTGTGTGTGTGTCATAGCTGTGGGAAGCAGGAGAGTGAGCCGCATTTTGGACGTTTCACGCATCCAATTAAGGGCTTGGGAGGATCAGACTCTGGCAGATCCAGTTACCCCTGGCCGCTGCAGGGGTAATACCGTGAGAGAGAGCGTAATACTCCCCAGCCATGTCTGCCCCCCCTCTCAGCAACACCAGACACTGGCTTTTCCATCTTTCTGTTATTTCTTTCTTCTCCAGGAGATCCACGTGTGTTTGCTGGAGAGGAGTATGGAGGTGTCAGAAGCCAAAGGGAAAGGGCACTGTGGGGTGCAGGAGCTGCCAGACTTTGACCTGTCCTTTCCCTTGTCCCTTCCCCAAGGCTACCCTGCAGCCCCAGCACCCCAAAGGAGCCTGAACCCTGGGCTGACCTTGGTGTGCCCCCACGAGGGTGAGACCTAGCTGAGGATCCAGGGAAGAAACATTTCATCTTAGATCCTCCGAGGCTTACAGCACTTTGCACTCTATCAGCATTTATTCTTGGCACCGGGGTGACAGAAAAAGCCCATGGATGTACACTCCCTTCTGTCAGGACTGGCTGCAAGAATCCCCAGTCAAAGGCCAGGAAAAGCCTTTCCTTCCTTCATCACTAGCTGCATCCAGTCTAAACTTCCCCAAATTGCAGAAATTCCCCAGGAAGCTCATTTTAAACCTGCTGCCTTCTGATCTGTGACATAGGCCTCTGGCACACATTTTCCCCTGCAAGAAATACAAATTGGAAGGAAATTTCCAGCTTCAAACCATGTAAAAGTGAAGTGGGTTCACATATTTGTCATCTCTACCTCTTCCCAGAGGTGGGAGAGAGGCGTTGTTGCCCCATAATCCTCCACACTGTTAATTTTCTCCTTGCACTTAGCAGAGCTGGTGCCATTCCATCCCACTGGAGTCAGCCCAGAGCATCAGCCCTCACCACTGTTTCCACTATTTCTGTTCCAGAAATCCTAAAAATTGTGCCAGTCAGCCAGTGCTCTCCCTTTACAGGCTCTTCTCTCACTGTATGCAGTAAAACCCAGGGGACTTGGCTTTTGTCTTGGGATTGTCAGACAGTGCTGAGCCAAAACCACTTCTGTGGGTGACCCTCACACCCAGCGTGGCCAGGATGGGACCCTCACCCTCCCCACTTGCTGCTGAGGGAAAAGCATCTCCTT